ATGTGTAGTCGGGGGTAGTCATAGTGCAGCTTGTGATAAGGATGATGATGATGATCAGGAGGATTGATTGTAATTAATTTAACTTTGAAAACAATTTCCTATGTTGTATAAACAATATTTATTATGTACATGTCGGGATACTTTTATTTGTTTTTATTGAAATATTTGTGTGATATATGCGTGGATTGAATATTATACTGCTGATTGAACAGGGATTTTAAATTTATTATCGATATTGTACAGGGTTTTTTAATTTTCAAAATATTTTTAAAAAAAATAGTGGTCATTTTTAGCGACGGATTTTTCGTCGCTAAATACATATTTAGCAACGAAAAACAGACACGAAAAAAATAAAAATAAAAATATATCTTTAGCGACAGATTTTTCGTCGCTAAAAATTAAAATAATAAATACACATTTTAGCGACGGATATTTCGTCCCTAATATCTGTTTTGACGACGGAATTTTTCATCGCTAATACTTTTTTATTTTTTTTTAAATACGGAGACGAAAAATTCATCCCTAATATCCCATCGCTAGCAATTAGCGATGGAATTTTCGTCGCTAAAGATGTAATTAGGGACCCTCAATATAGAGACGGTTTTTTAGCGACGGAATTTGTTTTTTTCCTTCGCTAAAAGTTTTAGGGACGGAATTTAGACCTTTAACGACGGAATTGTCTGTCGCTAAAAGTTGTAAATCTAGTAGTGATTTAGAAAAATGATGAATATCTAGATAGGATCCAGTATGCTTATTATGATGAGTTAATTTATTATACATTCCCATAAAGTTATTAAATTTCTGTCGGCAGGTGGTTTTAAAAATATTTTAAAAAAATTATGTTATTATAAAAATAAAATATTTTGATGTTTCAAAATGATTTTTATTTATGTTCATGAGAATTGAAATTTAGGCATGAGCAAATAGGTTAGTTGTCCTACTTAAAAGAGTCGCCTAAAATATGACTAGAAAGTATAAAAATATGACTAGAAAACCACCCTTTTATATTGCTCATTAATTCCACTAATTTTTGAACAAGCAAAAGGTATTTCCACTAATTCCATTCATTTATTAACGAGAAAACTACTAGATTCGTTCTACAAGCAAATTCAAATTCAGGAAGCATATATCACTTCTCCCTAAAGAAGGGACATGCCTCCAGCGACAAAGTTGCGGCTATAGCCTCCTCAACGACGACGCTAGAGGGGAGCAGGGGGCCCTTGAGAAGGCTACCAAACAACTGTCCTGGATCATAGTAGACTTCCACGTCCTCAGCTCTTAAGTTATCTACATGCGTGGAACAAAATAGTATTGGACTACATTTAAAATATTATAGATTTGAGGGACTAATATTAAAATAATTCTTAATTTTTTGTGGGGCCACTCATTAACAATGAGATAATTAATCACTAATGTTAATTTTTTACGATGGCGACAGACATTGGCGACATATTTGATTCGTCGCCAATAAGTATTAGCGACGTATTCGAATCCGTCGCCAATAAGTATTGGTGACGGAACATTGGCGACGACTCGAATCCGTCGCTAATACTTATTGGCGACGGATCGAATTCGTCGCCAATGTGTATTGGCGACGGATCGAATCTGTCACCAATAAGTATTGGCGAGCCAATACTTATTGGCGATAGATTCGATCCGTCGCCAATACTTATTGGCGACGAATTCGATTCGTCGCCAATAAGTATTGACGACGGAACATTGGTGACGGATCTATTCCGTCGTCAATATGTATTGGCGACGCATCATTTTCGTCGTCAATACTTATTGGCGACGAATAGAATCTGTCGCTAATAAGCATTGGCGACGGAACATTGGCGACGAATAGAATTCGTCGCCAATACTTATTAGCGACAGATTGAATTCGTCGCCAATAAGTATTGGCGACGAAACATTGGTGACGGAATTGGCGACGAATTCGATCCGTCGCCAATAAGTATTGGCGACGGAACATTGGTGACGGATCAATTACGTCGTCAATACGTATTGGCGACGCATCATTTCCGTCGCCAATACTTATTGGCGACGGATTGAATCTGTCGCTAATAAGTATTGACGACGGAACATTGGTGACGGATCGAATTCGTCGCCAATACTTATTGGCGACGGATCTAATCCGTCGCCAATACTTATTGGCGACGGATTCTATCCGTCGCCAATGTTGTCCCGTCGCCAAAGGTTATGGGCGACGGAAAACATTGGCGACGGATTGAAATCCGTCGCCAATACAAACATTGGCGACGGGAACAACCCCGTCGCCAATGTTCCGTCGCCAATGTTTGTATTGGCGACGGATTTTAAATCTGTCACCAATACCCCGTCGCCAATACTTAGTTTTCTACTAGTGAATACTGGAGTGGATTGAATCTAATATATTATTTACTAATAATTAATCTCATATTGTAGAAGAGATTTTATGAACAGTTGATCGGGTAGGGATTTGATTGTTAAATTAAAATTATTAATTTGATTAATATATAATTGGTTCTTAATATGGAACCCAATTGGTCTCACTAATATAATTAGAAGAGGTATACATGCAAAGCAATTTTATTTCCATCCTTAATTGTTATGGATAAAGTTTTTGAACAAATTTATTCTATCTTTAATTGTTATGGATAGAGCTTTGAACAATTATGAATTGTTTAAAATTAAAATCTCTAAGACTAGTCTAATCTTATATATAGAGTTCATATGTAGCCTTATGAAGATACAGAAAAACTTATGAAGATAATATATGAATAGAATAGAAATAGAAATTTGAGAACTTATCTCTCAGTATTGCTCCTCTTCGGTGACGGGTACGTGGATTTCAATTGGGGGTTTTTCTGTTGAGGAAGCTATTTCGAATAGATATCGGGGCATATTATTGTAGAAATTCGGATAGCTTTTCAGGTATTCTTCTAGTTTTTAATTAATTTTGATTAATAGTCATGATGCGCTATTTTCACTACGTTGTATGTTATGTTTCCAACAAACAGTTATTTCTTATTGGTAGGCAGTAGAATGTTTCAAATCATCAGAAAGTAATAGTCTGTTTTATTGAATTATAGGAACTCTAGATTAAAAAATAAGGATGTATTCACTAATATTTCTACACTATTTTATGAACACTTGTACCTTTTGAACTCGAGATGACATTATCTTTTAGCTAGCTTCAGTCTAACTAGAAAAAATTCCCTCTAAATTCAGGACAAAGATACGCTTACAGATTATATTGCAACTAAAGGGGTTAAGTGCTAATAAGAAAGTTTATAGATAAAAGTGATTATCATACGACATCCTCAATAATTCTAAAGTAATAACTTGGTTGGAGGAATCAAATGGGACAAAAAAACACAAAGCATGCGCATGCTTTTTTCCTGTGCACAATCAATACTAGACATGGCAGAGATCACCACCACCACCACCATCCACCCACCAAAAAAAACGTAGCTAGTTCAATGTTCTTGTTATAATTGCAGCACGCAAATAATTATATCACCTTTTGACTCTTTGAGAGATTTACTATTTCTTTTGTGAATGGTCATCTTCTACTATTCAACCACATCATAAGTCTGTACTCTATCCATAACCTTTGATGATGGCTTCTCCATTGCTAGCTATTTCACTCTTTTTGTCAATTACTGATGTTCACATTGCAAAATTATTTGTATTATTTTGTTTATAATGAATTGTATTGATGATTTTTCTCATTATTATGACCTTATTCTCTCTTTGTATTGATGATTTTTCTCATTATTAATTATGACCTTATTCTCTCTGTCTCTCATTTTTCTTTTTGAAATGAAATGATGGTGAAGCAAAAGGAGAACATGAAAACAATAAGTCATGGTGAGGTAAAGATGTTTTTAGAAAATTGCTCCCTCCATGTGCTATCGATGGGTATGTTTCAAAATTATATAAATAAAACTAGTTCTTGATCTTAAAGTATTTCCCTCATGATAATATAAATAAATGACTTAGCTAGGGTAAATATACATACGTGCTCGAGAGAGATCTGACCAATGATCAAAGACTGTAAGATCTAGGGTCTCATTTTTCCAAATGTAAGCATGTTTGGCTGATTATAGTATTCGTAGGCAGGAAAGATTATATTTGTAGATAATTCGTGCGCATTACATCGTACACAGATTTTTACTTTGAACAAGGAAATGTTCAAGTTGGAGGGAATATACTATCCTACATATTGGGCATTATCAGTGATAGTTTAACCCAAATGTATGGAGTTCAAGATATATTACTGCTAGTAATATCCAAAATATGGGCACTACAAATTAAATTTTTAAGTTTAGACTTGAAATATGCATCGAAATAATATCCAAAATAGAGAGTATATATGTATCAGTAACTATGATCTACTACACATAAACCATCCAGAAACAAATTTTTGAAAGGTTTAATTTGACTTACTTTATTTGTGTATCGTAAGTTGTCAACATTGTACACTTTTTATAAATAAATTAAAAACATTGTCTTTCTAGATCATCATGTGTATTGGCATCACATCCGTCGACGATACAGATTTTTAATTTGGACATTGAATTTTTAAAGTTGGAGGAAGTATCCACAATTTAAACACGTCAATTCTAATTTATCTCCATACCTAAAAGATGATCAGAAATATCTCAACTTCCATGAGTGCCATGTTTTAACGAAGAAGCTTTCGAATGAAGAAAAAGGGAGACGGAAAGTTGAAAGTCTCACTCACGGATTCTACCTGAAGTCACGGTATACACATGGCAGGCATCAGAGCACCAGCAAGAAACATCAAAACATTCTGAAAGCCCAAAACCTAAACCAATGCAAAAGGCAAAGTTACATGACAGTCTTGATGACAGTCTTGATTCTTGAGAAAGTTGATGCGAACTCTAATCCGCTTTTGCATTAAAGTAAAACAAGTACAACCGCTCTTTAAGCAATCATCAACAACTGCTGCTTGTTGTCAGGTTAACTCATTTACAACATCTAAGAAAACACTTGGCAAAAAAAAAGGAAGAATTGAAAGAAAGAGAGGATAAACTGCACATAACACCCATGTCAATATCTGTCGTAGCATTTATCACCCCTCAACTCGTTCTGAGGAAATGCCAGTTGCAGATGTGATAAGTGCTAATAAACGAGTTGAGAAATGATAAGTACTGCTGAAGATAACATGAAGAGAAGAATTACATGCAATTTTATCAGACTAAAAGTAATCAAAATGGTGAGGGACGTTGAATGGCTCCTCCCTCTCCTTCTTGCTTAGCTTCTTCTGAACGATCACTCTACTGCACATTGCTGCCTTCTTCCTCAAATCTCTAGGGACTTCAGGAGGCTTAACAGACCTAATCAAAGCCCAATTCACCCCTTTGAAGAACTCATGGCTCTTAATCTCAGCTGAACCCTTTAAACCCCCTAATCTCCTCTTAGGATTCTTCACCAACAGCCTCCTTATGAGATCTTGAGCTCTAAGTATCTCCCCCAGCTCCTTAGTATTTGATACGTTCATGCTTGGAAAGCTCAGTGGTTGCTTCATTATGTTGACGAGCGTCTTCTCGTTGCTCTCCCCCTTGAACGGAGTCCTCCCATATATCATCTCGTACAGGAACACGCCAAGCGTCCACCAGTCGACGGCGCTTCCATGTCCACCGCCGGAGATGACCTCTGGCGCGAGGTACTCGTGGGTCCCGACGAAGGACTTCGATCGGGCTGAGACAGGCTCGGCGACGAGCTCAGGGTCGAGCGTCTTGAGCTCATCACCGTTATCTTCATCTGCTCCCTGATCTTCTTCCTCTTTCTGTTTCTTGATGCACTTGCCCGTGCCCCCGCCATAAAAGCATGAGAGCACAGGCTGTGATGTCATGCAGGATGAGGTGGATGTCGAGTTCCTCACTGTCGACGACGTTGCCGAGGCTCTCTGCTTCTGCAGGAGCTGCGGCACGACGTCGCATTTTAGCGAGAGGTCAAAGTCGGAGAGCATGATGTGGCCGTCGTCTCTGACGAGCACGTTCTCCGGCTTCAGGTCGCGGTAAACGACCCCCATCATGTGGAGGTACTCCAGAGCTAGTACCGTCTCGGCTGCGTAAAACCTGTGATGTGCGCTTTGTTTGAGTTATATTACAGGAATTAAATCCTCACGAGGTTCGCGTAACTCATCATTAGAAGGTCGTTTTCCTATAAATTGCAAAATAACAGTTGTGGCTTCTCGATTTTAGATTCTACGAGATTAACTAACCTGGATAATAGAAAACTAATATAGGAATAAAACCTCTACGAACATGAACTACATAACGTCCCCCTAAAATATGAATGATTGCATGAAAAGAATTCCTTATCTAAGGATTTCAAATGTACCAATTTGAACCCTCATTTATTTAGAGTAAATTTAACAAAGTCCTCCGTAAGTTTGTGATCGCATTTTCAGATAACCCAAAAACTTCGAACATATTACTTTACGCTAAAACCCAACTTCGTAGAGGGTCCAGGGTTACCTGAAAAAGTTTTGGAGGCTTAAGTGACGTTTGTTTCAAAATCTCTTCAGGTTGCTCTCTAAAATTTGCAGAATTCACCCAAAAAATAAAAAATAAAAAACCTCTAAATTAATTTCATTCCTATAAAATAATCAATAATATATAAAACATGACAATTTAGTTACCACTTACTTAGCAGAAGCAACACTGAACCTCCGAGAAACCTGCGCTGCTAGGCAACGTGGCAGATCGCCCGCGGACAAAACTCCATACAAGCCAGAAATACTGAGGCGTTCGAAATCAGCCGTAGAGCGGCCAGGAAAGGGTGTCAAGAACCCGAAGGATCTCCGTCTCCGTCCCCGCCTCTGAATCTTCTTCTTGATAGCACAGCGCCCTCCTGTCACACCTTCATGCGCGTAGTACAGGCAAGAGAAGGCGCGGCGACGTCGACCTGAGGCTGCAGAGGTAGACTTCCCGAGGCGTCGCCGCTGCCGAGGCGGGGTGCATGAGGAAGCTGTCGAGGTGATGGAGAGTACGCGGAGGAGCGGAGGCGGGCGGATGGCCTCCCCTCCGCTTGGTGGCCTTGTGGGGCTATGACGGTGTCCGCGTGGTTGAGGAGGAGAGGAGCGGACGAGAGAAGCGGTGCTCGAGCTACCGAGGCTGGCGGCGGCTGGAGGTGAGGATTGCCGTGGGCGGTGATGGAGCGAGAGAGCTGTCGTGAGTCGTCGCGATCTTCAGCCGGGACTCGTCAGTGGCGGAGGCTGGAGCGTGCAGCAGGGGTTACTTATTGCGCTCCTGTTGAGCGTAGAAGAGGGAAGGCACGCTACTTATTCAGCGGGGGCTTGCCATTGGCGCTGTTAAATGACTAAAATGCCCTTGCCATCTCTTGTTGCATTAATACTCTCGGATGGGCGCATGAGTCTCTAAGTTGATCTACTAATCTAACGGTATGCATCTGTTTTTGATGCATCATTAATAAAATAGCTCTAGCTCGGGCAAATATATACACTTCGGGACCGGTCGATAATTGGAGAACACCATATAGGAAAGAAAGGATAAGGTTGGCACGTGACAAACTATTAGCCTCAAATTAAGTTGATGATTATACTGATTTCTACAACGATAGTTGTAAGCATTGCGGTTGTCGTTACGCTGATACTTATTGCGTGTGCTAGCTTAATTAGATCCTTGAATGTGCGCCACTTTTTAATCTCACTTTTTTCATGGATGACTCTTATATGTCATAGGATCTTCTCCCCCCCCCCCCCCCCATGTACTAGCGCCTGCAAATTTACCAAAAAGCCCTTAGGATGTTGGCTTTTTGAGTAGTTTTTCTAACCGTAAAGGATGTTGGTATAGGATGGCAACAGACAGTAGAGGGGGGGATGCATGCAGAGCCCGTGCACACATTAATGTCCACCTCACAATCAAGCCGGTGCTCACCCTTTTCTTTCTTCCACTTTATCCCTTTTAACAACAACAACCAAAAAAAAAAAAATTTTAATTAAGGTCTTTGACGTGTGCTTGATGCAGCATGTGACCCTGTTTACTAGCCACGTGGCATCAGCTCATTCCCTTGAATTACAGCGAAAAGGCAGTTGTTATTTATTTTGCCAATAATATTCCAAGTCCCGAGTTTCAAGTTTTCCCTACTTAGAATGAGTTGGTGTTTTCCTACGTTTCGGTGTTGTGGCGTAACGTAGCAACGTAACGCATAAATTTTCATTTTGATGATTTATTTATTTTTAGTACATACAACCACAAGATTACTAGCTAGGCAAGATAAACTGATGCTAACTTGGCACCTAGATTATCTTGTCCCTATGCACATGAGCCAGCATCACTGAAAATTAAAGCAGTCAACACGAAGAAAGTACATTAATATGTGCGCCATGTAGGTTGTTTTTAAGGCTTGAAAGAACTATATACCAACCAAAAGGCTTTTTTGCTCCTTTCAAAGCTCAGTCATTGCTACTGGCCCAAACTCAAAGACACCTGTTCTACCTCATTCTTGCCTCTCTTCCACAAAAGTTTCACGACCTACTTCCAGTATTCTACTCTACTGGTGAGAGGTCAGTCCATTCTAATTTAAAAGGGATAATGTTATGTAATCTTTGTATTACAGACAAAAAAAACATGCGATATTTTCATGAATTGCTATAAATAATTAGGGGGAAATGTATCCCGGCCCCAAAAGCAGAAACTTAATGTGACGAGGCCCCTCACAGTTTCCCCCCATGTGGATCAGCCCCTTGAATTGTGACATTTTGTGTTGCAGCTCCTTTTTAGCAATTATTACATACCAGCTAAGCTAAAATCCCTAAATTATCATTATCCTCTCTCCTCAATCTCTCTCTCTCTCTCTCTCTCTCTCTCTCTCTCTCTCCTCTCTTCTCATAAAACAATGGCTTCTCAAAGCTCGTTGCTCTGGCCCTCGCCTCCGCTCCGGCAAGAAGCTCCGTCAGCTCGCCTCCGCCTGGGCCCAACGCCATCTTCAATCTCCCCTCTCTCTCTCATCTCCTCTCTCCTCTCTCTCTCAAGATCTCAAGCCCCATTCCTGTCCGCAACTACGCCCTTCACGACGACGTCGGGCTCCAGATCCGCGCCCTAGCCCGTGAGTTGGGCCCTGGAGTTCCCAACCACTTTCCCTCCTCTCCTCCGCCCTACCTCGTCACCATTGCTCGCCGCCGCTCCCCGCCTCGCCCTCAACTACGTCGGAGTTCGCCATTGTCGCTAACTACCTCGCCCTCGAGTTCACCATCAACGTTGTCGGGATGCCATCAACCCAGATGCTTGCCAAGAAGAAGCTACAGGTCTTCAACAACTTAGACTAACATATATCGCATCACATGTCGATCGTGCCCAGCATCAACTTTCACGACAACAAATGCTTTTTGGCTTTTTTTAATATTTAGGAGAACAAAGTGATGTTGATTCTGATGGTAATTAATCAAAATATTATTTAAGCTTGCGTCTAAACCTTTGAATTCCTCTCTTTGGACTTGGTCTCTTGGGCACTGAATTGGTCAGAGTAGATTCTCCGTTCGATTGCGTTTATTTGGCAATGAATTCAAAATTATGGAATAAAAGAATATTTTTGAGTATGACTGCCAACTCAATAGAGCTCAAGATGGTAAACAGCCTGGGGGAGGAATTATTTAACAGAATGAAGCGGGTGTGACCACTGTTATAACATGAAAGATCGAAACGCATCGAAAAATATATAAAAGTCATCAGAACTCCAGTAATATTACAAGAATATATTAAAAAGTCATCGAAAAATATATAAAATTGCAGATTTACTTATCTAATTTCATTGAGTTCATTCGTTAAATGTTGCAGTGTTCACAAAAATGCCATCAAAATCAGAACTCCAGTAATATTACTTCTGAGCTCGGCGACGAGGGAGGGGTCCATGCACTCGTCAGGTCTGCCGGTGTTGTTGAAGTTGTAAAGCCGATCGTGGATGTAGTGGCAATGTGTCTTGCCATCAAAATCATATTAGTTCTAGCTCTAATTCATCTTAGTTCTAGGTTCTTGGGCTCTCAAGTTAGTTCTAACACGCCCCATGTTAGTTCTAGCTCTAATTCATCTTAGTTCTAGGCTCTTGAGATCTCAAGCTAGTTCTAACTTACCCTATGTTAGTTCTAACCTGTCTCATGTTAGTTCTAACATGCTTCATGTTAGTTCTAGATAGTTCTAGCTCTAATTCATCTTAGTTCTAAGCTCTTAGGCTCTCAAGTTAGTTCTAACTTACCCCATGTTAGTTCTAACCCGCCCCATGTTAGTTCTAGCCCGCTCCATATTAGTTCTAGCTAGTTCTATATCTAATTCATCTTAGTTCTAGGCTCTTGGGCTCTCAAGTTAGTTTTAACTTGTCTCATGTTAGTTCTAACGCGTCCCATGTTAGTTCTAACCCTCCTCATGTTAGTTCTAGCTCTAATTCATCTTACTTCTAGGCTCTTGGGCTCTCAAGTTAGTTCTAACCCGTCCCATGTTAGTTCTAACCCGTCTCATGTTAGTTCTAGCTCATTCCATGTTAGTTCTAGCTAGTTCTAGCTCTAACTCATTTTAGTTCTAGGCTCTTGAGCCCTCAAGTTAGTTCTAACTTGCCCCATGGTAGTTCTAACCCGCTCCATGTTAGTTCTAACACGCCCTATGTTAGTTCTAGCTCTAATTCATCTTAATTCTAGGCTCTTGGGCTCTCAAGTTAGTTCTAACTTGCCCCATGTTAGTTCTAACTCGTCCCATGTTAGTTTTAACTCGTTTCATGTTAGTTCTAGCTAGTTCTAGCTCTAATTCGTCTTAGTTCTAGGCTTTTGGGCCCTCAAGTTAGTTCTAACATACCCCATATTAGTTCTAACCCGCCTCATGCTAGTTCTAATATGCCACATGTTAGTTCTAACTTTAATTCATCTTAATTCTAAACTCTTGGGCTCTCAAGTTAGTTCTAACTTGCCCCCTTGTTAGTTCTAATCCATCACATGTTAGTTCTAACTCGCTCCATGTTAGTTCTAGCTAGTTCTAGCTAGTTCTAGCTCTAATTTATTTTAGTTCTAGGCTCTTGGGCTCTCAAGATAGTTCTAACTCGCTCCATGTTAGTTCTAACCCATCCCATGTTAGTTCTAGCCCGTTCTATATTAGTTCTACCTATTTCTAGCTCTAATTCATCTTAGTTCTAGGCCATTTGGCTCTCATGTTAGTTTTAACCCGTCTCATGTTAGTTCTAACTTGTCCTATGTTAGTTCTTAGCTCGGCGATGAGGGAGGGGTCCATGCACTCGTCAAGCCTACCGATGTTGTTGAAGTTGTAGAGCCGGTCATGGATGTAGTGGCAACGTGTCTTGCCCATGGTGTGTGCTCCTGTAGTTATAGTTGATTGGTTTAGTTTGTAAATTGTGTTCATAATTGTACTGTACACGTTTGTTTTATGGTAACAGATTTTTTAGGCTTCCGTGAGTTTGAATGCAACTAGAGTTGTTACTTAAATTCCCTTTACACCTTAAAAAAGATTGCAATTAATTGCAACCTAAGTCTGAAACCGTACTACAAGCAGCGCAATAGTTTTATGAAAACAAATAACTGCGACTAGCGAACTCAAAATATTCTGATTGCTGATATTGTTATTACACGGAACCAAACAGAGTGATGGCCATCAGAGCGATGGCGATGACTGCGGCGCCATCAGAACGATGGCGACGACTGCGGCGCCGGTATGTGTGAACTAACACGCCGCGGTTTAGAACTAACACGTCGCAGGTTAGAACTAACACGCTCAGGATTAGAA